AAAAAAAGATACAGACTGGCAGATTGGATTAAAAAGCAAAACCCAACAATATGCTGATTCAAGAGACTCACCTCATGGGCAAAGACATCCACAGGCTGAAGATCAAAGGATGGGAAAAAACTTATCACTCACATGGATTGTGTAAACAAGAAGGGGTTTCCATTCTCATTTCAGATAAAGTAGACTTTAAACCAAAGTTAATCAGAAGTTATAAAGAAAGACATTTCATACTTCTTAAGGGAAGTATATATAAGCAGGATATAACAATCATAAATACTTATGCCCCAAACAAAGGAGCATCTATATACATAAAAAAAAATACCTTCTCAATTTCAAGAGTCAAATAGAACAATAATACTGGGTGACTTTAACATACCGCTCTGACTACTAGACAGATCTTCCAAACAAAAACAAAAATTATGGTATATATGTGTATTAAGAATTGTAATGCAAAAAAAAGTACATGTATAATGGCATAAGTAGACGTGAACATACTTTATATACAGAGATACGAAAAATTGTGCTCTATATGTGTAATAAGGATTGTAATGCATTCCACTGTTGTTGTGTATTTTAAAAAAATAATAAAATCAATTTTTAAAAAAAGAATTGTAATGCAAAACAAAAAAGAATAGTGTTACCTTAGATTAGGTAGAGAGAAGTAAAAGGATGGGAAGGCAGGGGATGTGGGGATAAGAAAGATAGTAGAATGAAACAGACACTATTACTTTATGTATATATGTAACTGTATGACCAATATGATTCTACAATATGTATACTCAGAAAAATGAGAAATTATATCCCATCTATGTATATCAAAGTATATAAGTGCATTCTACTCTCATGTATAACTAATTAAAACATATAAAAAATTAATTAAAAAAAGAAAAAAAAACTAAATAAGGAAACTATAGAACTAAATAATGCAAGCAATAATTTAGATTTAACAGACATATATAGAATATTTCATCCATCAATGAATGAATACAGTTTATTCTCAGCAGCACAGAACTCCTTCTCTAAAATAGGCCATATCTTATGCCACAAAGCAATTCTTAGTAAATACAAAAAAACAGAGATAATACCTTGCGTTCTATCAGACCAAAATGGAATGAAATTAGAAATCAATGACAAAATAAAAAATAGAAGCTACTGTAACAAATGGAGACTAAATAATACACAACTGAATGATGAATGGATAATAGAAGAAATTAAGGATGAAATAAAAAAATTCTTAGAGGTAAATGAGAACATTGATACAATGTATCAAAGTCTCTGTGACACTATGAAAGCAGTAATAAAAGGAAAGTTTATTGCACTGAGTGCATTCATTAAAAGAATAAAAAAGTCAACCAAAAAAATGACCTAATACCACATCTTAAAGCCCTAGAAAAAGAAGAACAAATCAATCCCCAAAGCAGAAGACAGGAAATAATTAATATCAGAGCTGAAATCAATGAAATTGAAACAAAATAAACAATAGCAAAAATTGACAAAACTAAAAGTTGGTTCTTTGAAAATATAAATAAAATTGATAAACCATTAGCCATGCTAACAAAGAGAAGGAGAGAGAAAACTCAAATTACTAAAATACATAATGAAAACGGAAATATCACAACAGACACTACAGAAATGCAGAAGATAATTAGAAGTTATTTTGAAAATTTGTACTCCAATAAAATAGAAAATATCGAAAGCATCAACAAATTTCTATAAGCATGGGATGTGCCCAAACTGAATCAGAATGATATACTCAATTTAAACAGATCAATTTCAAGTGACGAAATAGAAGACACTATCAGAAGCCTACCAAACAAGAAAAGCCCAGGACCGGATGAATACACAGCTGAGTTCTACAAGACCTTTAAAGAAGAACTAATACCAATACTCTTCAAATTAATTTGTGAAATAGAAAAAGAGGGGGCACTTCCAAACTCACTCCATGAGGCCAATATCACCTTGATTCCAAAACCAGGCAAAGAATTATCAAAGAAAGAAAACCTCAGACCAATATCTCTAGTGAACATAGATGCAAAAATTCTCAATAAAATTCTGGCAGATCAAATACAAAAACATATCAAAAAGATAGCACACCCTCCCAGGGGTGCAAGGTTGGTTAAATATATGGAAATCAATAAATATAATTCATCATATCAACAGACTTAAAGCTAAGAACCATATGATCATCTCAATAGATGCAGAAAAGCATTCAACAAAATACAGTACCCCTTCATGTTCAAAACACTAGAAAAACTAGGGATAGCAGGAACATATCTCAACATTGTAAAAGCTATCTATGCTAAGCCCCAGGCCAACATCATTCTAAATGGAGAAAAATTTGAAAGCATTCCCTCTAAAAATGGGAACAAGACTAGTACTTATTCACCACTTCTATTTAATACTAGCCAGAGCAATTAGAGAGATGAAAGAAATTAAAGAGATACGGATAGGAAAAGAAGAACTCAAATTAGCACTGTTTACTGACAATATGATTCTATATCTATAAGACCCAAAACACTCTACAGAAAACTTCTAGAACTAATAAATGAATTCAGCAAAGTAGCAGGATATGAAATCAACAGCCATGAATCAAAGGCATTTCTGTATATCAGTGACAAATCCTCTGAAAGGGAAATGAGGAAAACTACACCATTTACAATAGCCTCAAAAAAAAAAGAAAGAAAAGAAAAAAACCTTGGGAATCAACTTAATGAAAGGTGAAAGACATCTACGACAAAAACTACAGAACACTAAAGAAAGAAATTAAAGAAGACCTTAGAAGATGGAAAGATCTCCCTTGTTCTTGGATAGGCAGAATTAATATTGTCAAAATGACCATACTATCAAAAGCACTATACAGATTTAATGCAATTCCAATCAAAGTCCCATTGACATTCCTCATAGAAATAGAAAAAACAGTCATGAAATTCATCTGGAAAAATAAGAAACTTCGAATAGCTAAAGCAATCCTTAGCAAGAAGAGTGAAGCAGGTGGCATCACTATATCAGAACTTAAAGCATACTACAGAGCAATAATAACAAAAATGGCATGGTATTGGCACCAAGATAGACTTGTATATCAATTGTACAGAACAGAGGATGCAGAGACAAACCCACATAAATACGGTTATCTCATACTAGACAAGGATGCCAAAAATATTTACTGGAGAAAAGATAGCCTATTCAACAAATAGTGCTGGCAAAACTGGAAATCCATATGTAGCAAAATGAAATTAAACCTCTATCTCTCACCCTGCACAAAAATCAACTCAAAGTGGATCAATGACTCAGGCACTAGAATGGAGACCCTGCACCTAATAGAAGAAAAAATAGGCCCAAATTTATACTATGTCAGCCTAGGATCTGACTTCCTTAACAAGACTCCTAAAGCACAAGAAGTAAAATCAAGAATTAATAAATGGGATGGATTCAAATTTAAAAGCTTCTTCTCAGCAAAGGAAACAATTAATAATGTTAAAAGAGAGCCTACAGATTGCGAGAAATCTTCACCACATGCATCTCTGATAAAGCATTAATCTCTAGGATATATAAAGAACTCAAAAAACTTACACCCATAAAACAAATAACCCAATCAATAAATGGGCTAAGCAACTGAACAGATACTTCAAAGAAGAAGAAATACAATTGGTCAACCAATATATGAAAAAGTGTTCAACATCTCTAGCAATTAGAGAAATGGAAATCAAAACTACTCTTAGATTTCATCTCACTCCTGTCAGAATGGCAATCATCAAGAATAGAGGCAACAATAAATGTTGGTGAGGATGTGGTGAAAAGGTACACTCATACATTGCTGATGGGACTGCACATTGATGCAACCACTATGGAAAGCAGTATGGAGATTCCTCAGAAAACCGAGAATGGAACCACCATTTGACCCAGCTACCTGACTTCCTGGTTTACACCCAAAGGATTTAAACTCAGCATGCTATCGTGATGCAGCCACATCAATGTTTATAGCAGCTCAATTTACAACAGCTAGACTGTGGAACCAACCTAGGTGTCCCTCAATAGATGAATGGATAAAGAAAATACTCAATGGACTATTACTCAGCTTTAAAGAAGAGTAAAATTATTTGCCAATAAATTGTTGGAGTTGGAAAATATCATGCTAAGCAAAATACACCAATCCCACAAAACCAAAGGCTGAATGACTTCTCTAATATGCAGAAACTAATTCACAATAAGGGGGGGCACTAGAGAAGAATAGCTTTACCTTAGATTAGGTAGAAGGAAGTGATGGGAGGGAAGGGGAGCAGATGTGGGGATAGGAAAGATGGTAGAATGAAATAGACATCATTATTGTATATGTATATGTGACTGCATGACCAATATGATTCTGCAACATGTTACACTCAAAAAAATGAGAAATCACATCCCATCTATGTATGATATATCAAAGTGCATAAATGCATTTTACTGTCATGTATAACTAATCAAAACAAATAAAAAATTTAAAATAAATAAACAAAATTCAAGTCCTCTAAACTGGAAGAAAACTCAAAAATAATTACTTTGGTGGCTTTTGTTATCTTTTTATTAGATTTTATGGGAAACTAGTAGTAAAATATGAGAACATGTCAGCATACATACTACATATATTTTTAAAATATATATTATATTTGCTGAAGGTTACCAGTCCCCAGAATCACTAATAAATTTTCATATTTGGTGAAAAGTCTGACAAATCCAAATTTTAAAAAATAATTTTTAAAGTTACACTATCAGTCTCATCATTTTCTTCTTTATCTGGTGTTCCCTAAGTTCTGATGTGGTCAGGAAGAAAACCTGGGAAGATAAAGATTCCCCATGAAAATCCAGATACTCTTTCTTATTTCAAATTTTCAAGACCCACCATAGGGTCAGGAAAGAGACTTTTAACTTTTGAAAGGCCACTGGAGTTTCAAGCAAGCAGCATTTCATAAGTGGGCACACCCCACCCTCAGAGCTAAAAACCCATCCCTTGAACAGATCATTACCTTTCGAATAAAGTTGACATGGCATTCACCCTTCTGCACACGAGGAGGGCAGCTGGGAGGCACCTCACGGCTGGTGTAAGCTTTGCTCTGTTTTGTGGCGTACAACACTGCTGACTGGAAACGCAGCTCAATGGAGTTCACGTCTCTGATCACATTGGTAATATCAAAGATCTGTATTAAAGGGGAAGAACAGACAACCCCATGATGTACAAGAATTCTTGTATGTAAAATTTTAGATAAAGGTAGGATATATGAAAAATGTATAAAATATTCAAATCTAGAGTTAGCCTGCCGATGAAAAGCAGCTCTCCAAAACAGCAGAACTTAGTTACCCACTTTTAATTATAACTAAGCATATTCCCCCACCCAAACACAGATTTCTAGGTTTCTCCTTCTATTTTTACTGACAGATGATGGTCCAGGGAAATAGAACAGAAAGTATCTTTAGTCCTGGAATGTCTGCTCTAGCTATTTGCACGTAGCCTTGAACTGCCAAGGATTCCTAGACACATCACGACAACCCAACTCTCTGGACAGCACACAGTAAAAATAGAAGGAATAGCTAAAAATTTAGAGTTATATAGGGGGAA